GTTTCTGGCATCCTTAATAAGAATGGTCGAACTTTAAGAAACTATTGTTTATTTCTTGTAGGTGTAAAACGTTTGAGATATCCGTATGTTTAAAACCGCATTTGAAATAATGTCGATAACTTCGAAACCCTAAGACATATTTGTTCTAACTTTAGCAAATAAACCTCAGAGCTCTCCCCTGCTAGTTTTATGAAACACCCAGTTTGAAGTCAATCATAGTAAAAATAGAACTCGCTGCACAAATAGCTTGTCAAGTTAACCTTAAATCATAACGCTAACACTTTCGTGAAAAAGTAGGTTGAGTTTGATCGTCGGGTTAACATCAGTCCTGAATAGGACTGTTGTTGTTGTTGACAGTGACTGTGACAGTGTTGGTGACGGTCACTGTCAGCAACTGCTTCAGTCTATTCGAACTACGATGCTGAACGATCAAGCTCAACCTACACACAAACCGACTCCTGGGTTCAAACCTTTCACAATTTCATTGAAATTGGCACATAGTAGAAACTGCCGACGGACTATCTCCTACCTGCAAGGGTATTCTTGCCCAAAGCTTTGGTTGCAAGAAACTGGCTAATCGAAACCTACGGCGAATACAGTTTGCAATACAACAACAGCTTTAAATTTGAAATTGCAGTGTGACAGAAATTTCAACCTCACTCCACGACAATTTAAAGTTCACCGTGGCGAAAGTATTTAATTTCACTGCTACAATTTCAACTTCTTCGCCCTGGCAATTTCAATGTCACCACCGCAATTTCAACGTAACGTACAGCAATTTCAAATTCAGCTGCCTCCTGGCCGTCTCAGTACGGTTATCGGGGCTGGAGTTATGATAATCACAGGATATCCGCCTTGAATACATTAATATCATAATCACCAATTACCTGAAATACATACAGTGACTGAAAAATCAAGTCACTCTTGTTGAATCAATATGGCGGACGGGAAGTGGTAAGTGGTAGAAAGGTAGCACTGTTACGCTTCAGCGGAGATTTTGCGTTCATTCGGCTTGTCTTGTCGAATTGCCTTTGAAATATTGATTCCCCACAAATTAAATTGGAAAGAGGCCTTACTCCTATACAGCAAGATGTAGTGAACTATAGGGCATTCACCGATGTCGTCCATTTTTGCTCTGAAATTACACTTCCGGCTGGAAAACAGGTTAAAGATAGGTAACCATACAGCGAGATCTACCGTCCATAGGTCATGAAGTTGAAATTGCCGCGTGAAATTGAATTATATGGGCTCAAGTGAAAGTGTCCTGCTGTCAACCCTGCATAGTCAATAGGGACCTTACGATCCGACAACGGCGACAGCAATGGGACTTTACTTCCGATTTACGTGTACTGCGCATGAGTAGATTTCGAGACGGCGGTTTCCTTGCACGCGCGGACGTCAACAAGCCTTCATTTGTTTGACTTTGTACGGCCGAAACGTGGGACTTCTCTAACCTAGCCAGGGACTGGACCGTCGCAAAGGAATGAAGGTAAAAACGAACTTTGCGACTGACTAAATTTAACGAAAATTAGTTTTGTTATTAGATTTTGGATGAAATGTAAACGAACAGAGCGTGGAGTGAAACACGAAAATTTGGTTTATCAACTGAGTTGATAATGTAAATTGACCACCGTACAGAGATTGAAAAACTGTCACTCGTTTTCGAGAGTTAGCCCCTTGTCAGAGCGAATCGAGGAATTTTGGGTAGTGTAAGGATTTATATACAGAGGAAGCGACGCCACAATGGTGGGAACTTGGTCACGGAAAAAACAGGAAAAATTAATTGAATGAAAAGCGTTCGGTGATGCCGTGAGGATTATGGGGTGCCGGAAATTTGGAAAATGAATCTTTGCTCTAGGTTTTTACGACAATGTCTGTAGTGCCCTGGTATAGGAAAGTCCGCAAATAGACATGTGTTTTAGAATGGCCGTGAGATTAAAATGCCGCGCGACTGGTTTGGACAAATGCGCCTTTGTCACATCTTTCTCAACGCCGGTAGGGGTGTTCCTCCTGAACTGCGGTCGCCTAGCTGTCTTCCTGTTTCGCCAATGTATATTTTGGCTGCATAATGCGTACAGGTTATGCAATGAATAACTTTCTGCCGGAGGTGCACGTGAAACGATCAGTGATCTTAACAGATCGCTTAGGCCCGATATTTTCTCCAGCATTTAGAACGAAAGGACAAGTTTTCATCGCGAGCGCGCGCATTTAAAAGGCCAGGCTTCTCCAATTGTTTGGAATGTTCTTCTGACTAGAAAGTTGCCTACGTTTTTGTCGCGTTTGAATGAAATCAAAGTAATTGGTTGTGGAAAAACTGCACCAGCTTCAGGATCATTTTGTAATATTTTAAGTTATTAAGAATGATGGATTTACCTGGTTATTGTGAGGGTGAAATGTTAGGGTGAATGCAAGACCTGTCCTTCTTTTCCTTTTGTGACGTTGTGTTGCTGACTATCGATTAATTTGTTGAGCTCGGTGATGGGCCGCTTGATTGCAGAGCAGGATGGCGCGTTTTCAACTGGCACATTTCTTTTAATTTGTTAGAAAATCAGTCATCACTGCATAGGCGTCGAGGTCTCACAGTTACTTGTTGCATTCATCTTCATCAACCCATGTCAAAGTTGTTCCTATTCTCCCAGTTCTTAGACTCCTGTTTACATTAGCGAGTTCAAATACTACACCCTGAAGACCAAATGCAAAGTTCTTTATGGCTGACAAAATAACGACTTTCCGCAAATGTATGACATCTGTATGTCACTGTGGGACTTGATATTGCCTAAATTAGTAGTATTTTGGCTGAGACATTGTTGGAGGATCGATTTAATCGCGCCGAACCTCTGAACTCGTCACGTCAGAAAGGTCAAATTACGCTCAAGTGCTCCGTGTGATTTTTTCGTTCCCAAAATTCATTTCATATGTTAACAGAGTTTTGAAACCATGTTTTGAAAGCTTAGAGATTAGTTTTAATGTGGAATGTCTTTTTATGTTTTGGAAATCATGTACTGGGTGTGATTTTGGGCTTGAAATTTGACAATTTTTGCTCGTAATAAAACTTAAAAATTTTGTAAATATTTAAAAATCAATAAAATATTCCAGTTGCAATTAATTCAAGAACATGAGACCACGAAATATGTGTATTAAAATCCATTTAATACGATAGAAGCTTTTGGGTTGAATGATATTTGAATTCGATTGAAATGTGGTCTTTCCGTAGCCCGGTCTAGACGCCCAGGCAGTCTGGCGGAGGCCGTAAATCGCGCGAATTTGACATCGCCGTATCGCCAAAATATTTGTCCAATGGAACTAAAGTTATATTTTCATTACTAGAATACCTAAGTAGTCTACAGAATTTTTTGAGATTTTGAAAAATTTATATTTCCCACTTTTGGTCGATATTTGCAGACATCCTCTTGAAGGATGTTAAGTAAAAGAATTTATAAACATAACTATTGGTTTACATATATATCACTGTAAAGGAAATGTTGCTTAATATCGCTAACCTTTTTGAAATTGATGTTATACCAGTACCAGACGCCTGTAGATTTTGGGGTGGTTAGGGCTGGAGGACCTGGGGTTGGAGCTCATCAAGGCAATAGGGGCTTATTCAACTATCGAAATTGCATTACTCTCTGTGAACATGCTCACCCTTTGTTCCCATTAAATGGTTTGTTTTGGTGGCATTTATTTCACTTTTAATTCAATATGTTAGCCTTTCTCCAACTGTAAATTTTTTATTCAAAAGCAGTTCATTTTCTAAAGGGAAAAGTGTTATTTAGCTTTTGTAAAACCTGTTTGGCAGACTTGGTGAAAATGATCCCCAATTTCTGGGGAGAAACATCAAAAGTAGCCTGATGTGGTGGACCCGTAACAAACACACATGAGCATTGTGAAGAAGGGCACATGTCACATACATTTTGCCAACAGCATTTAAACTTATTTTCAGATTTTTGGAAGTCCAGAAATTTAAAATAATCAATTATGTCAGCAAAAATCCATTCAACAGAAACTCTGACTTCACTCATAGATTCACTCATGCAGACTGTATGGGAGTTAGTCCACCTCCTCGAAAAGGCCCTTGCAGATGTAGGCGAAGGGGATATGCTGGATCTCCATAAATACATAGGGGGTTCCCATTTGTGTCCAATGAAAATCTTTGCAATTGGTTGAACACTCCAGATCTAGTTAACATCCCACTATCATGTCTCTTTCCCTCGACGGGCCCAAACAGGTTCGCAACAAGCGAGAAGCATGAGCCAGGAGAATGGTGTCACGGAACTTTGGCATGGTTTTAAAAAGACTTTCGTTGACTTAAACACGATAAACATCAACGGCCGTCGTCAACGTTCTCGCTCGTAAAGTTCGTAATCTCAATGTCCGCGGGAACGCCAACACGACACAGCCCGGCTCGACCCAGACTTCTCAAGTTGCCGTTCCCGTCGCCGTTGTCGGGTCGTAAGGTCTCTAATATGGCTTGTACAACACTTTGAAGAGCCGTGACACGTCACACACATCTGAACTCTCCGGAAGAGCGCTTTTCGAGAAGGTTCATTCAAGGCCATAAGAGTATATAAGCCTGCGGAATAGAGAGATAGTATACAATGTAACTGCAGCCTCTCTTTTCGTGTTTTTCAGTATTTTTTTAGGAGCTATGGCAATGCAAGTTTATCAAATTTCTTTTATGTAATGTGTCAGCGCTTTTATCTTGCCCCGCCTATTTAAGCTGTGTAGCTATTTGCGGGGCAACAAATGATATGTATAATATCATTATTTGTATAAAATACTATTTGTAATCTAAAATAGATAGAAGATTGTTGTGGCCGTTGATGATTTGATTGTCCTTCCAGAGTACTTCTCAATAACTGCCTGAGCAGTAGAGGGGTGAATCATGTTCACACTATAAAAAAATACATGTATAAAAGGAAATGTAACCGTAATGAGCCGGATAATTGAACAGGTGGACCATTAACTCAATCAAACTTCAAAATGAAGCACAACTGGGTTTAGTCATTGAACTGATGCAGTGTAGCTACATTTAGCAGATGACGCAGACACTGACATTCAGCTTCCAGTATGTATTGATCATTGACAACTGTCATGCTATGGTTGACAAGTAAGTTCACTCCAGACACAAAGAAGCTCTTCAACTCACTTCTTTCGATGGATAATTCCATACGCTCGATGATCCTCTTCGCCCATGTTATGCTGACTTCATCTGACTTGCTCTCTCGAGCCAGCTCCAGCGTCGGGTCACAAGCATCCTTGGCCGCCTTGAGCTCGTGCAGAAAACACGTCTTCAACATGTATGAAGATATAGTTGCCTCCATCAGGCCATCTCTCTGATCGTGGTCGTATATTTGTGGCATGTACAAGGTGTCCTTTAGCGACTTTAGCAAGATGTATCCACGCAGAACAGGAAGGGGTATATTTTGCAAAATCTGGGCTTCATATTCAGACACCGATATGCGAAAATGTCCATTCCAGTTCTTTACCAAGCGTGGATTTGGTGTTTTGAGAACTATGCTAGTTTTCCTTTCTTTTGGGGACGTTATGAGGCCAGAATGATTCACTTCAATACATTTAGGTGTCCACAAAGATGGTTTGATGGTAGGTACAATGTCTACTTCGATTAGCAAGTCTTTAAACAGTGTTCCAACCCAGCGGAAGGCCAACTTGCTGATGGAACCCTTGTCAATTTTCAGATGTTTTCTGAGGTAAAGGCTTTCTGAGGCAATAGTACCTCCACTAAAAATAGCATCGTTGATCGCTGTATAGAGGTCACGAATCAAATTCCTACTATCCAGGAAACCATCAGTGTCCAAGTAGCGCGTCAAATTGTGATCAAAAGCGTCACTCTTCCGCAGTCGCAATCTTGTGTATCCCAAAGGATGTGCTTCTGTTTCTTCTTGGATAAAACTCATTGAAATTGAAATTGATCAAAGTCCATTTATAGTCAAACTCATTTGGAAATCCATTTTTTGTACCTTCAGCCCAACTACCGGATAAACTTACATCACATCTGAGCAGAGGATTCAGCTGGGCCACCTGAGAAGCAGCATTTGTTATGGTGTCATGTATCACAGCTGCAATGTCAGTGTTTTCATTGTTGTCAGGACACAATCCCATGTCTCTGCAGTCTAAAACAAATCTTTTCGCGTAATGATTGAGAGGGCCTTTGTGCTCTACTAAGTGTTCTGTCCGTTCCATGAACATGACACTTCTTCCTTGATGATCTATTTCACGCAAAATTGGACAGTAAGGATACATGTCCTTCTTCCCACTACACTCTCTTTGAACAACAAAAACAACTGAATCATCAGAACTGCAGGTTTCCCAGGAAGGCGAGTTTTCTGAAGCTGTATCTTGATTCTCATGGACAGGCACGTGGGAAGAAACATCTGCAGGGCTGTGTTCGTCGTCACGAGCTGAAAGGCCACCGTCTGCCTGATTTTTCTTTTCGTCATTCTTGTTCATTGTAACTGGCGTGACATTCGTGTCAGATTGAGTTGGTTCTCTCGTTTTTATTTTGGCACTAGAATGTGTAAATCTTTCAATGGTATCATGACTTTCTGTAGCATCTGTTTCACATGATTCTTGCAAGGAGCCAGACTGGGCATAGGGAGAGAACAGGTCAGCACAATGCAAAGCTGTATCAGTTTCCGAAAGATATGTTACGCCCTGAGAACCCATGATTCCCTCTTCTTTTACTCCTGCAACGTCCCTGAGATAAGATATCTCGTCAAGTATGCCTAGTTCTTCACAAATAATGGTATCCTCAAGTAATCGAGCTATATCACAAGGAGTGTTTCCCATGTTGTCTTTGATGGATAATGAAGCACCACATTCCAAGAGTTTCCTCACAACAAGCACTTCATGGTACCAAATGGCCCAGTGCAGAGGAGTTGAGTCAAATTTGTCCTGGATATTTACGTTAAGATAGTCGTGTTTGTCAAGTCTCATGAATGCTTCGAATGTTTCATAATCTATTGTAGAACGATGTAGAGCTGTCTCACCTGTGCGTGTTTTCAAGGTTGCATCTGCTCCAAGCTCCAGTAACTTTGTTATTACAGCGACATCTTTCTCTCTCAATGCAAAATGAAGGGGCGTGAAGTCAGCATTGCCTGTACTGTTAACGTCCAATCCAGCAGAAGCAAGTAGCTGAATGACATCGCAAACACCAGCTTTTTCTGGGTATTCATCCTCTTCCTCCATAACTGGTACGAGCACGGTTGGCAAAACACACATGTGTAATGGGTTTAAGCCGGCCTTGTCCACGGCCTTTACATTTGCACCTTTGTTGATAAGTGCCTGCACTGTGCTCACATTCGTGAACTGAGAACTAGTAGCATAGTGGAGTGCAGTTCTGCCATAGCAATCAGCTTCGTTAACATCGCACCCATGTAAGAGTAGCCAATTCAGACAATTGACAAAGTCGACACTGTAGGCTTGCCACACAATTTATGAAGAGCTGTCTGTCCCTTGATGTCCCTGGCCGTAGCATCAACCGTAGTTGTGCTGTCTGAAACAAACTGCATGCCTTCAATACAAGCGACTGAGGCTAGGGCATGAAGAACGGTTGCACCAGTCGTGTCCTTCAAGTCGACTGACACTCCTCTGTCTATTAATTTTGTCAGAAAATGCAGGCACCTGTGGTTTGGTGAGTTAGATCTCTCGTCAAAGAGATGGATAGCTGATACAAAATGTATTAGAGAACGCCCACTGGAGGAATGCTGCTCCAAATTGCTACACATGTCAAGAAGTAGGAATACCGCCTCTAGGTCAAACTCCAGGTCCTCCAAAACGTACCTTTCAAGCATGTGCAAGAGTGCCGTGTTCCCTGCATTGTTGACATGGTTGGCACTGGCCCCATTTTCCAACAAACAATTACGGATTTCTGGATCTGTAGATTTATACACTGCCGAGAAAAAAGGCGAGTCACTGTCTTCGTCTACGAGATTCACATCTGCACCATATTCGACCATGCACCGAACAATGTTGACTTTATTACGCCGTACGGCAGAATGGAATGGGGTGGCCGTACCATCGGTTAGATTAGAAGTTACAAAGTTGGGGCTCGCTCCTCTCTCCAGCAAGTTCTTTACCTCATCGAAGTCGTCTGCCATCACAGCTTTCAACAGCTTTCCACTCACATCAATGGATGTCTTATCGGGTGGTCTTGCCTCTGCCATTATTTGAGAGTTAATCTGAATCTCGTACTTCGGGTGAACAGGGTGAGAGGAACGCAAGCTTGTGCAAACTGAACCAATTGTACCTACAACCAACAAAACAAAAGCACAATGACATATCAGGCTTTTGCTTAATTTCTTCCTCTATGCACTGGCAGATGCTTTTCTTTGAAACCAAAATGATTTGAGCTAAACTAAGGAGACAGTCTAGTAAGATTTCAGGAAACTACTACTAATGTATTCTCACGGGCAAAAATCTGCAAGGTTTTAAGATATCACAGTGAAACTTTTCCACTATACTTCACCCAAAGATTTTGTGCTGAGGATTGTGACGCCTCTTACCAATTTTATAGTTAACAATAGACTTTGAATATTACGAACTAAATTTGAGATTGTGTTTCCTATGATTTTGCCCGGATATTCCAATGAACTTGCCCAAAACATTAATGACAATAGATAGACAACAATTTAAAGGCTGTATGCACAATCATTCTGACTGATATTTCTTATATGTAAGTTATTTTGTCAAATCACGGCCAAATAGAACTCTTTATATATGTCAGTGAAGTAAAAAACACCTTCAACACTCGATTTATCATACCGAATTTAACAGACCTGCAAAGTTTAATACGAATCTGTTTCAAATTCACAGAAATACAGAGCCTCAAAGTTGCCAATTTACGAAAAAGTGTATGCCAGTGCAGCTGCCCCCTAGCCGCAGTACAATTCTTTGTAAAGAGCACCCCTCTACATAAGAACCTGCAGTGTAGTCTAAAAAGGCAAATTTGATGATATGGACAGCTATCGTCCTATCTCTATTTTGCCTGCAGTTTCTAAGGTGCTAGAAAGAGCTGTACACCACCAATTATACGCTTATCTTCAGTGCCACAAAGTTCTTAGCCCGTATCAATGCGGCTTCCGGAAGTGCCACTCCACGGAGTGGGCCGCTATGTGTTTCGCGGATACAATCGGAAGAAACATCGATCAAGGTCGGCTGACTGGTGCGGTTTTATAGACTTACGTAAAGCATTCGATACCGTCAACCATAAAGTGCTGCTGAACAAACTGCGGGGTCTTGGAGTGTTGGATGGTGCACATGAGTGGTTTAGAAACTAGCTGCAGAACCGCACCCAATTTGTAGAATTTCAGGGTGTGTCTAGCGCAGCTGAACCAGTGTCTGTTGGAGTATTTTAATAACTATTTTGTTTTTAATAAGTACATCTGTACACGCTCAACCCGACAGAGCAATTTATTACATCTGCCTGCAATAAGAACGGAAACAGCCAGGAGATCCTTTTACTATTATGGACGTACGATTTTTAATAATCGCTGTAAATGTACATAATTTAGGCTCTTATTTCTTAGGTTTTTATTTCTTTTTTAACTTTATTATTTATTTATTTATTTAATATCTGGCTTAGAGCCACCACTCGCAATCTGCACCAAGCATTACAATCTCACAGACTTTTGTGAAAGCCCTACTTAATATTGTAAAATCTGCTGTTTTAATTTACAGTAGTTGCTAAAAACGGGGCAGAAACTCAAAGATCTGGCCTAGAGCCACCACTCGCAATCTGCACCAAGCATTAAATCTCACAACATACTGTAATTCTATCAAAACTCCACTTAATACAAACTGCTGCTTTGATGTGTTTACTAAAAAATAGTGTAGAAACACAACGATCTGGCTTAGAGCAGCCACTCGCATTATCTGCACCAAGCATTATATGAAAACTCCACATAATACAAAATCTGCTTTCTTAATTTTTTTGTTAGCAAGACGCATATCTGCGTGAACTTGGTCTACCTATTCCTTTAACTATTAGTGTTTTGTGAACATTGTACTTCAAAACAGTCGGTTTTTGCTTGAAAAATCACTCGAATACGCTCTTCTCACGTATGGTAATATGCCCGTCCATCCTCGTTTTCGAGTAAAACTTCTTTTGAAATGCTAATCGGACGACGTTTTCGTATTTGAATTTCAAAAGAAATTTCACTCGAAAACGAGGTTGGACGGGCATATTACCATACGTAAGAAGAGCGTATTGTGTGAAATCACCGCGAGGCTAAAGCGCGCGCAACAGGGTGCGTGAGGACCCACTCCACGTTTGCACCTCGCTCCAGATCTTTCGCTCGAAGAGTGCACGCAATCTCATTCGCAACCAACGCAAAAATACGGGCTGTTTTGCGTCTATGTAATTATTTTCGTGAGAATGTTGCGCAATTCGCGAACTAAGAACGTCGGAATTCTCCAATGTTTTATTATCGTTAAAACGTGTGTTCATAAAAAAAAAATAGAATTTGTGTCGGGGCTGGTCGTCTATTACCTGTGAAGGGGGCCAGCCATTTTGAAAAAGCTTAGAAGATTTTCAAACCGACCCCCCACTTGAAAATGACCCCCCCCCCATTAATTTTGCATATTTTGAAAGTGCCCCCCCCCCGGCCTCCCCATCTGAATAGTCTAGCTACAAATTGTGCCGAAGTTCACCACGTACTTTACTTACAGAAGTGTTAAAGATCAGTGTTTACTATTTCTACGGCTGTTACATTCAGTTCACTGCTACTAAGAATGTTCTGTTTAGTACGGTCGGAAGTGACTACTGATGGTTGATGGACACGCTAAACTTAGTACTACTATGCATTTACTGTTACTGTTACTTCACGAGTAGTATTTGTTTTGATCTGAGCAGACAGCTCACTGTCGGCTCCAAAATGCCAAGCAATTATGGGCCTGCTTGAGTGTTCCAGTTTACGTTAGAAGTGGTGTGTTACTCAACCACATCGATGCTATTTGCCAAGTCGAAGGTGTCCAAGGTCCAAATACGGTTAAGGAAAAGACAATTATTGGATTGCAACTGACGTCACGGCGGCCATGTTGGTGGTCAAGGACAATAGACTTTTTCCCTTCTGGGAACTAAACTCTATTTTGACACAATGAATTTTGTGAAAAACGTTTGTGTTGTATTGACCACCAACATGGCCGCTTTGTCACGTGGTTGCAGCCCAAGAATGGAACATAGAAAAACAGCTAGAAAGCGCGCTCTGCTATCTAAAAAGAATGGAGTTTTACGATCGCGCAACGTGCAAGAGTTGGAAGCACTGTGCAACTACTACTAGCAAGAAAAGTCTGAATGAGTCATCAATTCAGCGTATATATTTACATATATCAGGCTCATATCTATCCCAAAAAGCTTACAGATCTACATATGCAATTTGTCCGTGACAGTGTGGCTACTCATTTACAAGAACATACTTGAGGTAAGTAACAACTGGAAATACATCTGCTCTCGATCGCTGTAGTCTCAGCTTTCCGAAAAAGTAACATTACCTACATCCTACTCTTAAAAGAAAATATTTAATATTTCTTTTTACCCCTTTCATAAGAGTTATTAAAAGACCCCCTAGGAAACGCTTCCTTTTCTGAAAGTGACCCACCAAAAACAATCACGATTTTGAAAATGACCCCCCAGCAAAATGGTCGGCCCACCCTCACAGGTAATAAACGACCAGTCCCTTTGTATTGAGAGAAGACCAAATATCGGAAATGTCTTCAAAGAAAAAAAAAATCAAGATACATGAGAATAAAAGGCTTGCATTAAAGTAATACAGGGAAAGTACCGGTTCTGGTCCGATTACTAAAGTTAACCCTTGTCGTGCGGGGTTAGTACTTGGATGGGTGACCACCTGAGTATACCCCATGCTGTAGACTTTTCCTTCCCTTTGCTTTCTCCTTAGCATTGTCATTTTTTATGTATTATTGTTTAATCTGGTTTTTGACACAATATTACACCGAATTCTATTATTTGAAAACAAAAAACGTCGGGAATCGCACTATGATATGACTGGACGTGATCGCGCGGCAATAGGGACCTTACGATCCGACAACGGCGACGGCGACGTGGGACTTTTTTACTTCCGGTTACGTACTGCGCATGAGTAGATTTCTGAGACGGCGGTGTCCCTTCACGCGCGGACGTCTAGAAGCCTTGTTTGACGTTGATCGAAAACGTGGAAATTAAACCCAACTATGGCAAAGGAATCAAGGCAAAAACGAGACTTTGCGACTAAATTTAAAGAATACTAGTTTGTATGAAATGTCCGAAACGAACAGAGCGAGGAGTCTTTTGTATACGACCACAAACTGAATGGAGAGAGATTTGACTTATTTTGCTTTGTATTTGTTTGTGATTGTACTTCACTCGCTATCACTGGGCTTTCTTATCACTTACTTTCCAACTTTTTTCTCCATCAAAAAAAGAGAACAATTAAGTTTAATTTTATTTTGGGTTTACTAGGTAATAGTAGAGAGATTTTGTCTGCAGCGGTACTAGATTCGACCGATGCAAAGTGTATAAATACTTTCATTGAGCTAATTTTCATTTATAATCGTAGATTAACCTTATTTTACAAGGAACTCACTGGCTGGGTTGAACAGTTATATCGACGAATTCCGACTACCGCAAATATTGCTATATTTATAACTGAATCAAAAACAAATACAAAACAGAGACGTTCACATAATTTCCACTGTTTCCTAATTAAATAAGAATTATTTTACAAAATCCAAACTTTATTGATTGCCCAATATTTTGCTCCAAATGCTACACATTTTTTAGTAATTCATGACTGTTTTTATTTGAAAGCGTCCTTCCAACCTTAATTGTATGTTTCCCTCATTCGGAAGGCAAAGGATAACAATCATGTATTCTCATGATCATTTCTTTATCTGTCAACAAGTTCAGCTAATTTATTGGAGGACTAAATTAAGAAAACAAAGATATTGTCTAATATTATGATGATCTAGTTAATACCACCCAAAGCAAGTTATGTTATTTGTTTTAAAAATTTTGATCATGATTAGGACCAAGTGCTAGTAAATCTCAGATACAATGATAATTTTATTGTTAGCAAATTTTGCTGATATACTGATAGTTCTTCCTCATGAAGTAATTTTTGTTGCACTGCACTTTCAGTCAATCAATGAAATGGACTGAAGAACACGAATTGCTTATGTTGAGGGAATTGATGCTTTTGCAGCCATGGCTGCACAAGAAAGGAACTAGTGAGAGAGGAGATGATTGGGAAAAGCTGGCAGTATCCTTAAATGCTATTCCTTATCCCCAATTCCGTGTTACTCAACGGTCTGTTCGTGACCACTATATTCAACAATGGAAAAGAGAAGAAGGAAAAAAGTCAGGGAAGAAGACAGAGCCTCGGGTATTGCCCCTGAAGAGGACAAGGAACTAGATCAACTGCTAGATGAAACCATTGAACTCTTTGATGAGTCTGACAAAATCACAGATCAAACAAAACAAAAGCAGGAAGAAGAAGCAAAGAAAGCAGAGGAAATGCGGAAGAGATCATTGGAAACTTTTAAAGATAGCGCCAAAAGGAATGCCGATGAACAGCAAGGAGCAAGACCGAAAAAGGGTAGAGCTAGTGGTGCAAGCACTCTGGCCTACCTGAAGGATAGGGCAGAAGTAGAAGCTACTTTAAAACGTGATGAATTGGAGATAAAAAGGCAAGAGTTAGCACTGCAAGCAAAGGAGCAGGAAGGAAGACAACAGCAGTTTGATATGATGAACAAGCAAACTAGAGATATTCAGCAGCTTCAGCAGCAGCAAATGCAGCAGTTTATGCAAATGAATGCAAACATGATGCAACAGCACTAACAACAAACCCTTGCACTTATGGAACTAATGAAAAAGTTTGCTGGGAAGTGATGCTGGTTAATCTCTGAAAGAGGTCATTTAAATGCACAAAGAGTTCACATTTTTATTAACTTGAACATTTTCAAGGAAGTTAAAAATTAAAGATTTATAATAATAATTACTTGTTTACATATATAGTTGTAAAGGAAATGTTGCTTAATTTTGCCAACCTTTGAAAGTCGCCGAATTGATGTTATGCCAGTATCAAAACTGGGGCTGAGCCTTTATCAAAGCAATAGGGCTTATCCAACTATAGAATTGCATTACTCTCTGTAAACATGCTCACCATTATTTGTTCTCATTTAATAGTTTGTTTTGGTGGCATTTACTTTTTTTTATTAAAAAGCAGTTCAATTTTCGAAAGGAAAAGTGTTATGTAACTGTTGTAAAACCTGTTTGGCAGACTTAGTGAAAATGATCCCCAATTTCTGGGGGAGAAACATCAAAGTAGTCTGATGTGGTGGATCCGTAACAACAAACACGAGCATTGTGAAGAAGGGCACATGTCACATACATTTTGCCAACAGCACTTAAACTTATTTTCAAGTTTTTTTTGAAGTCCAGAAATTTAAAATAATTTATTATATCACCAAAAATCCATTCAACAGAAACTCTGACTTCACTCATAGATTCATTCCATGCAGACTGTATGGGAGTTAGTCCAGCTCCTCGAAAAGGTCCTTGCAGATGTAGTCGAAGAGGATATGCCGGATCTCCATAAATACATAGGGGGTTCCCATTTGTGTCCACTGAAAATCGTTGCAATTGGTTTAACCCTCCAGATCTAGCTAACATCCCACTGTCATGTCTCTTTCCTTCGACAGGCCCAAACAGGTTGGCAACAAGGCCACTGGGTGCTGCCATAGATTGAAACTTTATAGCATGGACTTTTTTGTGACCATTGTATAAGCACTTTTGGTTTTGTCCTGGTCGGCATATGGGCCTCACAGTACCGTCAACAAACCCCCAACAGTTGTCAAGAGCAGCTCCCCTGTTGTGAACTGCAACGGCAAACTCCTCTAAATGATCGGGTCTTAACCAATCCTGGTTCAAATCAGTGAGAAGGCGGTTCCATGTTTGATACATCTTGTTCATAACAGCATTTGAGATCATACACAATTGTGGTTCTGGCCTTCCAAATCTGGGTATCATGTCTACGTATCTACAGGGATAGGCAAATCTTTTAAGAAAAATGCACAATGCCTCAACCATGTCGACATTTACACCATTGTAGCAAACGATCCGATCCGTAAAGTAAACACCTCTGCCAAGTTGTAAATGTCATTCTTGTAAAATCTAAACTCAGTTTTACATTCATCATCGGTCATCTTGTCGAGATCGAAGCACTCGTAGTTAGTGTACGGTAAATCCGGATTTTAAGGCTTGTGTAAATCGTAGAGTAGCACGAATTCTTCAGCGTTAATCAAACGGGAAGCATGAGCCAGGAGAATAGTGTCACGGAACTTTGGCATGGCTTTCTAAAAAACTTTCGTTGACTTAAACACGATAAACATCAATGACCGTCGTCAACGTTCTCGCTCGTAAAATACGTAATCTCAATTTTGGCGGGAACGCCAACACGACGTGGCCCCGCTCGACCCAGACTTTTCAGGTTGCCGTTGCCGTCGCCGTTGTCGGATCGCAAGGTCCCTATTTTCTTCAAAATTTCAGCACAAGAAATTCGCCATCAGTTTTTCCTTATTTGGTCAAACTTAACGATAATGGCTCATATCATGGGCTTAGGGAACCAATCAGAAAGCTGGAAAATCATTATCCTGAGCTAAAAATTTACTAATACTTTATATTGCTGGGTCTTCACCTGCCTCATGCAGGAAGTCCGAGATCATTTCTGCACTGGATTTAGCTGCTTACACCACGTCCTTTGCACCACTGACGACTGCTATTTTAGTCGACTAAAATAGTTAAATACAGCATTTGATTCAAACGTCGAATTTAACTCACTGTACTCTGTCGAATTTAACTATCTTCGCTGTCAATATTCCCAGTAATATAATAATAATTTACTAAAATTCATTCATTAAGTTCGGCACATGTGAAATGCGACGTTTGAATCAAAAGTCGAACCTAAGTCGAATCTTCGACTGTTTCAGTCGCAGATACGGCAAACGTTGCATTTAATTTAAACAGTCGAATTTAATTGATTCAAACGTCGCACTTCACATGCATTTAACTCTCGCGTTAAGTTCGGCACATGTGAAATTCGACGTTTGAACCGGGCCTAAGTTTCTCATCGAAATGGAGCTTAGTAAATGCTTAGCAAAAGAATAAACGGAAAGAAAAGAAAAGAAGCGTGGAGAAGAGGGGGGGGGGGGCGTTGCTACCTTTTTTGTCAGAAAAAGGTCCCGATTCTAATTACAGCTGCGCATGCCTGATGTTGGATCTTATCCGGAAGTGACACATTCTTGTCCCCAGAGCCACTCGGCTTAATTCAAAACCACGTGACCAAGAAACGACGGGCTATGGGGACGAGAATGGAAGTGACAATTCATCTGAATTCATTGACACCTCATGATCATAAGACAACGCAATACTCCTGTTAAAAAAAGCATTGACTGGACAAGCCAGTTGTGCAAGGAAAAGAACAGAAAATTTAATCGGCTAATCTCACAGACATCCGGGCAGTGAAAGGCCCTTTGGTGTAGTTTAAGAATAGAGTAAACTGCTTGTGTAGAGAGCTCTAGATCTGCAAATAAACCCCAACGTTTCCTGTGAATCTTGTAAGTATCGGTAAAATTAATGCCCCATACAAACTCCCCCATCTTTAACTTACTTAATACTTAGTTTACTTAAAACCAGGGATCGGACAGTCTGAATTATCTTTGAATTCAATGGATCCATAAAAAGACCCTGAACTTCTGCAAGAGTCCTAGAAAAGTCCTTGAATTTTCCCAAACTTTGATTTGGCAAAATAAGGTCGAGATGTATGGTGGCCGCGAACTGCCGTTCGTCAAAACGACACAAATTTGTTAATTTTAGATTCAGCCTTAATTATTTTGTATTGAAATTAAAGCGAAAGTAAAACGTCAAATTATTTTGTTTTTCACTGAACTGGAAATATGTTCATTTTGTTAATTTTCAAAATAAAACAAAACATTTTTATTATGAAATGAAAATAAAAATAAAAGTTAAATAAAAGCGGAAGTAATACTAATTTGTTCACGGCCGGGAACTGCTATTCAAAACAGAAATGTTCACGGCCATTAAAAAACAGGAAAAGTAAAACTAGTATGTTCATGGCCGGTAACTGCCATTCAAAACAGAAAAAGTAAAACTAATATGTTCATGGCCGGGAACTGCCGTTCAAAAGACAAAAAAAAGAAACCTGAGACTTTTGGCGGGAGACGGTAGTCTTTTTTTTTGGGAATGGCAGTTCCGGCCATGAACATATTAATTTTACTTTTTTTCTGTTTTGAACAGCAGTTCTTGGCTATGAACATACTAATTTTACTTTTTCTGTTTTGAACAGCAGTTGCCGGCTATGAGCATACCAATTTTACTTTTTCTGTTTTGAATGGCAGTTCCCGGTCGTGAACATATTAATTTTACCTCTGCTTTTATTTCACTTTTATTTTTATTTTCATTTTATAATAAAAATGTTTTGTTTTGTGTTGAAAATAAACAAAAAAGAATCTATTTCCAGTTCAATGGAAAAGAAAATAATGTTGCGGTTTACTTTTATTTCAATTTCAATTCAAAATAGTTAAAGTTTAATCTAAAATTAACAAATTTATGTCGTTTTGACGAATGGCAGTTGTCGGCCACCATAGAGATGTTAGGCACAAATGTTAATGTTTCCGTTTTTCTATTTAAAAACTATGTCGGTTAGCCAAAGTGACCGGCAGTACATGTACTAACTCCACCTAGCTACAAACTGTTCCACTACCCTAAAAGTGATGGTAGAGGCGGTGGTACGGCCCTTTTATTTAGGGATAACATTAATGTTTGCAATCTTGAATCTGGCTCTAGGAATGCCTTTGAATTTTCTGAGTATCTCGTCTGCACTGGCTCTTTACGCATTCGACTTGTAATTATCTATCGACCGCCGTATTCTACTAATCATCCTGTGACTGTCAACAGTGTTATTGATGAATTTTCAGAATACCTGGAATCTGTTATACTATCTAATGATCTCCTCTGTCTAACTGGCGATTTTAACATCCATGTTGATGATCACAATGATCCAGCTGCTTGTCGTTTCCTGGATTTATTGGAGTCAGTGTCGTTAACACAACATGTGGCGAAACCAACGCATGAACATGGCCGTACACTAGATCTGGTAATTACTCGAGAGTCAACCAACCTTATTTGCGGTCGACCAGGGCCTGACATCTTATTTTCAGACCATCTAGCACTAACCATAAGAATTACTTGGTTCACTGGTTAATTGAGCAGATAATTTTCTACGCCTATATGCCCTGGGTGCCAGAGACTTCACATGCGCGTTTTCCGGTTTCGGTCAAGTCGTTATAGTGACCCGCGCGGAAGTTTTCTCTGTACTTGAGGCTTCGCCTCTCGTAGCTTCGGCCTTCGGCCGAAGACGCATTTGGCCTGCGGACGACCTCGTAACATCTCCGCCACATACGCGAGCAAACACTACTTGTACCCAGACAATTCACCACTTTCTTTTTTCCGTAGTGGACTGGAGCTAGCTTGCAATCGAGGCCAAGCTGTGGTAATAATCCACGTTTATATACAAACATTCTAACATGAATCCAAGTCTTTCTGGTCATATTTCTATATTTAGTTTGGTTTTCTTTGCGCTCAAGTTTCTTCTGTGAATTGCGAGACAACAGAGTCGTGAAAAAGTTGCAATTTTGCCCCAAAAGCCTGGGGTGAGTGTACAAAATAAAAATAAACAAACAATCGGTGATAATTTGCCACCAAAAAAAGAACAGTACCAATTCGTGAGACAAAGCACAACAAACATTTGATTAGCTAAG